GGGGAGGGACTCTAAGGATTTCATTTTTATTTCTCAGAATGCTGATGGGAGACTGGTTAAATGAGTTATGACTAAAATCGGCTGATAGGGAATATGGGCAGGTTGGAAGCCAGCGTTGGAGGAGGTCTCAGATGAAATGAGGAACTTTTTTTTTTTTTTGAGACTGGAGTCTCACTCTGCTCGCCCAGGCTGGAAGTGCAGTTGGGCATGATCTCGGCTCACTGGCAAGCTCCGCCTCCCAAGTGTTCACACCATTCTCCTGCCTCAACCTTCCAGGAGCTAGGATTACAGGCGCCCGCCACCACGCCTGGCTAATTTTTTGTATATTTAGTAGAGACGGGGTTTCACGGTGTTAGCCAGGATGGTCTTGATCTCCTGACCTCCTGATCCACCTGCCTTGGCCTCCCAAAATGCTGAGATTACAGGTGTGAGCCACTGCGCCCGGCCGAAAATGAGGAACTTATTGGGAGCTGGAGCACAGGTCACCCTTGTTACACCTTAGCAAATAACTTGGCTGCATTGTGCCAATGTCCTAGGGCTTTGTGGAAGGCTGAGCTTCAGAGTGATGACTTAGGCTATCTGCAAGAAAAAAAATTTCTATACAGCAAAGCATTCAAGAAGTGGCAAGGCTGTTTCTACCAATCTAAGATCAGATATGGGGCAAAGGAATGACTTAAAGTTGGGACTTACAATTTAAAGGGAAGTAGAGTGTAAAAATTTGGAAAATCTGCAGCCTGGCTCATGGTGGAGAAGGAAAGAACATTTTCAGGAGGAGAACCCAAAGGATAAGAATCCAAGAGGCATGAGGAGCAACCATTTGCTAGAGAGATTAGTATGACTGAAAGGGAAGCAGGTGCTAACAGTCAAGACAATGGGAAAAAGGCCTCAAAGGCACTTCAGAAATCTTCCAGGCTGCTCCTCCCATCACAAGCCCAGAAGCCTAAGAGGACAGACTGGTTTCAGGGACAAGGCCAGGGGCATTGCTACTCGGTGCTGCCTTGGGGTGCTGCTTCCCTTATCCCAGCCATCTCGAGTCCAGCCTCCACTCAAAGGGCCCCAAATAGGAGCTCAGGACTCCACTTCAGGGCATGCAAACTGCAAGCCCTGGTAGCTTCCACACGGTGTTAAGTCTGCAAGTGTGCAGAATGCAAGAGTGGCGGAGGCTTGGCAGTTTCCCCCTAGATTTCAAATGATATATCAGAAAGCCCGGGTGTCCAGGCAGAAGTCTGCTGCAGAGGCAGCACCCTCATGATGAGCCTTTTCTAGTGTAGTTCCAAGGGAAAATGTGGGGTTGGAGTCCCCACACAGAGCCCCCACCAGGGCACAATCTAGTGGAGCAGTGGGAATGAGGCCACTGCCCTCCAGACTCCAGAATGGCAGAACCACTAGCAACTTGCCCCTTAGCCTAGAAAAGCCAGTTACTCAACTCCAACCTGTGAGAGCAAGAACAGCAGCTGATCTTTGCAAAGCAGGCACAGAGGCAGGGCTGCCTAAGCCCTTGCGAGCCCATCCCACACAACCGTGTACCCGGGATGTGGGACATGGAGTCAAGGGAGATTATATTGAAGCTTTAAGATTTAATGTCTTCCCTGCTGGGTTTCAGACTTGCATGGGGCCTGTTGCCTCTTTCTTTTGGCCAATTTCTCCCTTTTGGAATGGGAATATTCACTCAATGTCTGTGTCACCATTGTAGTAATATATTGGGAATAAACAATTTGTTTTTGATTTTACAGGCTCATAGGTGAGAGGAACTTGACTTGAGTCTCAGATGAGACTTTGGACTTTTGAGTTGATGCTGGAATGAGTTAGGACTTTTGGAGACTATTGGGGAGCGATGACTGTATTTTCCAATGCGAGAAGGACTTCGGGGGGCCAGGAATGGAATAATATGGTTTGGATATTTGTCCGCTCCAAATTACATGTTTAAATATGATCCCTCATGTTGGAGGTGGGGCCTGGTGGGAGGTGTTTGGGTCATGGGGGTGAATCCTCCATGAATGGCTTGGTGACCTCCTCATGGTAGTGAGTTCTCACTCCATTAGTTCATGTGATAGCTGGTTGTTTAAAGAGCCTGGACATCCTCCCTTCCCTCTTGCTTCCTCTCTCACCATATGACACACCTGGTCGCCCTTTACCTTCCACCATGAATGGAAGCTTCCTGAGGCCTCAGCAGAAGCAGATGCTGGCACTGAGCTTCTTATACGGTCTGTAGAATGGAGACCCAAATAAACTTCTTTTCTTTATACACTGATCAGCCCCAGGTATTCCTTTATGGCAACGCAAAATGAGCTAACACACTGGTGCTTTTTTTTTGTTGGTCTGTTTTTTGTTTTTTGTTTTTTTTGAGATGGAGTCTCGCTCTGTTGCCAGGCTGGAGTGCAGTGTTGCAATCTCGGCTCACTGCAACCTCTGCCTCCTGGGTTCAAGTGATTCTCCTGCCTCAGCCTCCCGAGTAGCTGGGACTACAGGCGCCCGCCACTATGCCTGGCTAATTTTTGTATTTTTAGTAGAGATGGGGTTTCACTATGTTGGCCAGGATGATCTCGATCGCTTGACCTCGTGATCTGCCCACCTCGACCTCCCAAAGTGCTGGGATTACAGGCGTGAGTCACGTGCCCGGCCGGTGTATTTTAAAATCAAGATTTTAAAGCTGCAATGGACTGTTTCCTGTTTCTTTCAAAATCTTGTTCACATCCCCTCTGGTAGAGGCCCTCCCACTTCCCTGACTCCAGAGAGTCCATCCCAGCTTGTGGTTTTCGCCTTCCTAGACAGCTGCGTGATTTCAGCCAAGACATTTAATATCTGTTAAAAGGCAAAACGTATCATAGCAATCTCATTGGTTATTTCTTGCAATGAACGGGAGAGTGCATATAAACAGATTTTTGAAAGAAAAGTAGGAAAAGTGGCAAATTGACTTCCATGATAAACAAAACTTGACATTACATAATCTAAAAGTTAATATTTCAAGGAATAAGGTAATCTTTAGTGTTTTATTTCCCAGGACAAATGCTGTGCTGCATTTACGCATCTTAAATGCTTTACTGGGTCAGTACTATGATCTTAGACGTGCTGTTAAAACTAACAAGGAACCTTTAACTGATATCCAGCGTTTAATATATTTGCATCTAGTGACTCTTTGTATCTCACCTTCTGAGGGTGGGGCACATAGTGGAGCAGGTGACCCTCAAGTTCCAACCCCTGGGTCTCAACCTGTTATGGCTGCCCCCACCCCCACCATTCCCGCTCCCCGACAACCCTGGGTTGCTAAGGTGTTCCTTTGAATGGGGTGTGCATATGTCAGGAGGTACAGCTCCTGAGCCTTTGATGGTTGGAGGGTGGAGTGACCTCAGCGTTGTGTTCAAACACCAAAAGCCCAGTCTGGCATAGGATCTCTTTCTTTGAGGTAATGGCATGAGGGACACCCCAGCAGTGGCTGACCCCATTAATTCACTCCACTGCAGGACATGTGGGCTCTGCTTCTCCAGCGTCCCAGATAGAGTGTGGGCCGGCAGCTGGGAAGACACAGCAGTTGTAGCAACTCTTACCCCCAGCCCCTGGGGTTGCCTTGGATAGAAGCCAAAGGAAGGAGATGAAAATACACAGGAGGTGTGCTTTGCACATTTTTATCCCCCTTGAGAGAGGGGGAAGATTGTGAGGTAGAGTAAG